AAAAAAAAAAAAAAATAAAAGAGTAAGTATAAAGAAAGAAATAATTAGTTTGTCTTCGGTAATTACATTTGACTTGATTGGCGAAGTATTTCCAACTCCGTCTAACAACATCACCTTGAACCTGTCGTCTTTACAGCCATGTTGCGATAGAAGGAATGTCCATTTGTGATACCATTGGAGCTTTTTACAATTAAAAAGGCTTAGCAACGTTGATTTATTGTGTATATTTATGAATAAACAAGCAACAAGCTGGGTTTGTCCTGACTGATGTTCGAGACTCGCCTTGTTTGAAGATATAAAAATAGCTTTTTAACATTGCACAAGATTCCTTCGGGCATCCGTAATGCTTAATTGACGTTTTTTTTGTTATCAATTGATATGATGTTGCCTCTCCTTCTTTTAAGACTATTTATATCAGCTTCTAGTTCCTGTTCATATTCATTCTGGAGAGTACATTATCGATTTCTACTAGGGTACACGCGCACGATCTTATTATCAGAGAAACAGTGTGTCACCTATAAAAGAAATGACCCTTTCCTTCCTCTTCCATTTTGAGGCTTAGGGCTTCAGTCTTTTTGTTTCTGTTAAACATGTTTAGAACTGAAAGAGTAAAGGTGCTATGTTTTGGTGATTCAATAACAAAAGGTTATTGTCGATATGGCACTGAATACTATCCTTATTCTATATATTTGGAACAAATGTTTGCTCAAGATTACCCTTCCTTACAGATTGACTTTGTCGAATGTGGAAGAGACGGAGAAAGAGTGGTCAAGCAAATGGAAAAGAGATTTAAGCAAGCTCTAGACCAGAACAGATATGACCACGTCATTCTTTTGGGTGGACTTAACGATATGGCAGATATGATGAGAAACCAATCAACGACCAAAAGTGTTTTATGTGCCTTTGAGAATATGTACAAGACCCTAGAGGACAATAAGTATATTAAAAGTTTTATTCACATAACTGTACCCAACTGCGTCTTGGACTGCAAGCAACATGGGGATAACCCATACCAAAAACAAAAAAACATAGTTAATGATGCTATTTGTAATATGAGCAGCATAAAAAAAAGAACAGTACTCGATTTAAGAGACCATTCATCCTATCAGATGAATAGTTTATGTATGGATGAGAAGCTGCATGATATGTATTGGGATGATGGATTGCATTTCACAAAGGAAGGATATATGCTGTTAGCAAAAAACATTTACAAATTGCTCAAGGAAGAGGTCATTAACACACGCGCCCTGTTGCACAATTAACATATTATACCCTCTCTATGTGTGTGTGTGTATGTAGCGTGTGAAAAAAATAAAAAGGAGAAGAACTTATGTCATAGAACAAAATAAGGGTCTTTTTCAATTCACGCTTGTGCTTCCCCACAAATTATTTTGCTTATGATTTAAAGTTGTTAAGATATATACTCTGTATATTGCATAGCGTAAAGTTACCCAGGAAAGAAAAAAAACAAACTTGGCTAGAATTGTCTATGGCTTATTGATTTATAAAAAGTAGGAGTTGACGTTCTTTTAATAACAGACTCAGGAGCTATAGAACACACGGGTGTGTGAGTAGGGGGATTTTTATGAAAGTAATTCAACCTTTGCTGTGTCCCAACCACTATAAGTTACCCACAGAGTTGGAGCACTATCAATTACTTTTTACACAAATTATAGGATTGGTTATTTCTTTATAACACATATCTATAAGAACACTGTGCGCATCTTGAGCTGTTACAGTGGCTGTCGTTTGTGTATATGTGCCTGCATATATCTTTGCGTGTCTTTGATTGCACGTGATGATCAGTTCTCCTTTCTTTTTCTTCAAGGAGTGTCCTCGATGAGCACAATACTCATACGCAGTCTCAGATTTATATAAATGGAATGCTTCTTTAGCTTTTCTTTTTCTGTTATTCACATAAAAATGTATAAAGCAATATTGATACTCTTGGCCTTTTATTGCTCTGTTCTTACTGTTAGAGCTTATGACTGCGTGATGGAAGCCGTAGGTATACAAGAAACCGCCACTTGTACCATCAAAGTAGAAGACGAGGCTGAATGTAATAGCCAGCATACGGCGATGACAATGATGTCCGCCTGTACACTTTTGTCTGAAAATAAGTATGAGTGTAATTTGAATACTTCATCATTCACAAATAGCTGCAAGGATTTGGATGGTATTGCAACTTGAAGACACGATAGTTAATTTATATGCTGTCTATTGATTACATTTAATAAACTTTATTTTACATCAATTCATTCAGTAGTAGAGAAGCAATAGGAAAGGGTCTATAATAAAATTGGCTTTTCTTTTGGGAGGAAAAAATGTGGTTTTAAAAAGTAAAGAGGGAAATTAAACCTAAAGGCACGATCAATCCTTGTTTATGACGATTCAATTGATTAGAGAAATATAAAACAATCGATGGTTTTGTATCTTAAGCTATTATCACACTATGTTATGGGAGAATAAAGGAGCAAAATAAAGCAAATGTATAAGCTGTCTTTTGAATAAAAAAAAACCCTGAAAGCGTGATCTAGACAAATGAAGGGGGAGGGGTATGGGAGAAGAATTATTACGTATGAAACAACGAATTGGGTTTGTCTGAACCATATTGAGTCACAGTTGAATAGAAATAAATGTAGATCTATCCTTTTTCCTTTTTTTTTTTTTTTT